AAAAAAAAAAAAAAAAAAAAAAAAAAAAAAAAAAATTAAAAAATAAAGCAAAAAAATATCATTTTTCTTCCAATATAATTTTTTTATATCATTTTTTCCCATCATTTTATAACTTATATATCCAAGATGGTAAAATTTTCCAAGCAATTTGAGGGTCAGTTAGTACCTGAATGGAAAGAGGCCTTTGTAGACTATTGCCAACTCAAGAAAGATATCAAGAAAATCATTTTGCTTAACCACCAAAACACTTACATTCACAGCAAGAAAAAAAACAACATCTCTTTCCCCAACACTCTCTTAACTTCCATTACAAGACACACTTTTCTTGGCCTAAAGAATATGACAGAATCAAATGTCATTCAAGTACAAAAATACTTTTACATTGTCACAAATCACAATACATTTTTTCCTTTTGTTTTGGGGAAAAATTTACTCACAACTCTTTTGATGTTTTTAGGTTCATCGTAAAATCACGGGCTCGGCTAGCACGGGAGATTTGTACGAGACCGAGCTACTCGAGCAGCTTTCGGATATAAATGGTGCGGTCGAGTTTTTCGCGTGTTTGGATAATCAACTGAACAAAGTGAACATGTTTTATGCGAATAAAGAGAGAGAGTTTGTCGAGAGAGGGGAATCGTTGAAGAAACAAATGGAGATTATGAACGAGCTTAAGGCGACTTTAAGGGAAAAACGCGCGAAAGGACTGACTTTGAACGAGTCGAAGGAGGAAGACTCGATATCGGGCACCATATCATGCGGTATGAGGCTAGTTTGATAGTTTTCCTCTGTTTTATGCATGAATTAGACGTGCATGCGTGCTTTTTTTTCTTTTTTCGTAAAATTCTCGTTTAGTATTTAACGGTTTTCTATCTCTACGTAAAATAAAGATGGACGAGCATGGAAAATTTTAATAAGAGGATTTCGCCTAATATTTGTCTTGATCCTTCGCATGCTTTTGTTTTATCTCTCGAGTATGATGTAAGCTCCAAATTGTTCACCAAGCAAACTAGATGTATTTTTTCGATTAATCCTTTTTTTTTTTCTTTCTTTGCTTATAGACGATGAGTCCATTAGAAATACACAGAATAATACAGAAGAAAGCTTAACTGAAGAAGCTTGTAATGAAGACAGTCCAAAATCCGGTGAACTTGCAACGAAAACGAAGAAAGAGGAAGAGAAACTTAAGTCGATTTCGAGCAGAACAATTAATTTTCATGGCAAAAATTTAAGAATTCGCATTCCTGTTACGAATCCAACGCGCACGTTTTCAGCAATCACTTACTTGTTTTGGGATGATTTGGCGAACCAATCTTCCAAGAAAAACGGCATGGAAGGAAATAACAAGCTGCACGTGAACAAGAAAAAGCTCCATCATGCAGAGAAAATGATAAGGGGTGCATTTATCGAGCTTTATAAAGGATTAGGCTACCTCAAAACTTATAGGTAATGTGTGTGTATGATGTATCGAACATTTTTCTTTTGCTTCTTTGAATTTAAATGCTAACATGAAAAAATGATAATCGAATAATTATTGTCTCGTAAATTTTCTTATTAGGAACTTGAACGTGCTCGCTTTTGTCAAGATTCTGAAGAAGTTCGATAAAGTAAGCATATTTTCGTCGCTTTCTTTTATTCACTATAAGAAAAAAGGTGAAATTAATGTAAATTAACTCTTCAGGTGACAGACAAACAAGTTCTTCCTATTTACTTGAGAGTGGTTGAGAGCTCATACTTCAACAGCTCGGACAAGGTAAAACTCGAAAGCCCGAAAAAAGACATGTTCTTTTATGAAAAATGGAAAATAATCCAAATATATTACAAAAAATTGTGTCACAGGCTGTGAAATTAGCAGATGAGGTTGAGGAACTTTTTGTGAAGCATTTTGCGGACGATGACAAAAGAAAAGCCATGAAATACCTTAAACCGACTCATCGAAAAGATTCACATGCTGTAACATTTTTCATTGGTGAGATTCATATTATATATACCCTGCATTATTTAAAATTTTAGAATATTTGTTGCCTAAATTAGAGTTTAATGGAGATAATTATTATCATCTTTCGTTTGAACGGTCAGGATTGTCGGCCGGGTGTTTTCTTGCGCTTTTCATAGGATATATTATCATAGCTCACATCACAGGAATGTACAGAACTCATTCAGACACAATATACATGGAAACAGTTTACCCTGTCCTAAGGCAAGTCCAAATAATACTTCTGTTACACATAAATTATCATAATTCATAACTATAAGTAACTAAATTCTAACTTTTTTTTTCATTTTTTTTTTTTTTGCAGCATGTTTAGTCTACTTTTTCTACATTTCTTCGTATACGGTTGCAACATTTTCATGTGGAGAAAAACTCGTATAAATTATGGATTCATATTCGAACTCTCCCTAACAAGAGAACTTAAGTACCGAGACGTGTTCTTAATCTGCGCAACATCAATGACAGCTGTAATCGGAGTCTTGTTCGTTCATCTTTTTCTCGTGGCAAAAGGGCATCCGTACGCTCAAGTCCAGGCAGTTCCGGGCCTTCTTTTATTGGTAATTCTCGATTACATCTATTTTTTTTTTTCACAGAAATTTTACAATAATTTAGTAGTGAAGCTTCATAATAGCTAGATTCAACTGGCTGACTGGCTGGTTTATTAGGTTGTTTAGTTGTTTTCTAGTATGTATATATGTGTTTCGTTTTATGAATTTGAAAAAAAAAAAAGCTTCATATTTTAGTATATTTGCAGATTTTCATTATAGTTCTGGTCTGTCCATTCAACTTCATCTACAAATCGAGCCGTTATCGTCTGCTTTCCATTATCAGAAATATCGTCTTATCGCCTCTTTACAAAGTTGCCATGCTCGACTTTTTCATGGCCGATCAACTTTGTAGCCAGGTGTGTTATACTTATTATATATCTATCTACACGCTCGTTAAATTTGATTTTGTGTGTAATAAACTTAATCTAAAAACCGTGCTATATATATACGTGTTAATTAATGAACCAGGTTCCCATGCTAAGAAACCTGGAGTACGTCGCGTGCTATTACATAACCGGAAGCTACAAAACACGAGACTACAATTACTGCATGAAAACTGCATACTATAGAAATCTCGCTTATGCGGTCTCTTTTCTACCTTATTATTGGAGAGCCATGCAGGTATATATATATAATGCTAGTTCTTCAATCTTTTCTTAGCTTGCACGTAAAATAAATTTTTCGGACTAAATGCAATTTTTTCCTTCGAACTATAATAGCACTTTTACCGATTCTTGTTTTTTCATTAGTGTGCTCGACGGTGGTTTGATGAAGGACAAAAAAGCCACCTTCTAAACTTAGGGAAATATGTATCTGCAATGCTGGCTGCAGGGGCGAAATTGGCGTACGAAAAGGATAAAAATGCCCGGTGGCTTTTCATGGTCGTGATTATGTCAACTGCCTCAACCGTTTATCAACTGTATTGGGATTTCGTTAAGGACTGGGGTTTGCTTCGATTTGGCTCGAAAAATCCGTGGCTCAGAGACGAATTAATGCTTCGTAGCAAATTAGTGTACTATTTCTCCTTGGTAAATGACGCGTCCCTACATCAGTAAATGATCGATTTTCGTTTGTTTATTTTACAATCTGCATGTGGTTAGCGAACGGTTTTGTTATAAATAAGATTGTTTGTTATGCTTTTGATGTAGGGATTGAACCTCGTTCTTCGGTTAGCTTGGCTGCAGACAGTTTTTCACTACAATTTTGAGAAAGTAGATTACAGAGTTACCATGCTGTTTTTAGCAGCTCTTGAGGTTGTCAGAAGAGGGGTGTGGAACTTTTATAGGTAAATAAATTTCAACTGTTGAAGGACTTAGCTGCAAATTTTTTATCCCTCATGTATAAAATATTTTTACTCATCAGTAAAAAATCTTAATCTCCTGAAAATTGACTTTCATTTGTAGATTTGCACTGAATTACTGATTTATTTATTTATTTATTTATTTTTTTTTTT